TGTATTGTAGTTTAAACAGATTCTTACTCATAGTTCGGCATTAATAGGCCCGTAAGGAATTGATTTGTCAAAAAAGCATTTCCTCAAGCTTTTATGCCCAGTAGTCCGTGATGGGATATTAGCTGCGGTGGGATCTGAGTTACTACAGAGGATTCTTTCCTGGGTGCTAGCTGGTGAGTCTTGCCCACATGCTCAGAGTTTAGCTGATCTCCAGATTTGGGGTCGGGAAGGAAATTCCTTCCAGGGCAGATTGGCAGAGGCCCTGGGGGGTTTTCCCTTCCTCTGCACCGTGGGTCATGGGTCACTTGCTGGTGGATTCTCTGCACCTTGAAGTCTTTAAACCATCATTTGAGGATGTCAGTGGCTCAGACACAGGTCAGGGGTTTGTTACAGCAGCGGGGGAGTGAGATTCTGTGGCCTGCGTTGTGCAGGAGGTCGGACTAGATGATCATAATGGTCCCTTCTGACCTTAAAGTCTATGAGTCTATGATTGTATTGCCTACTAACAGTTTGACAACTTGTAGCAAGAAGGAAAAGATTCCTGAACTTGTGTGTGGCAAAGGGAAGGAGGATGCATCTAACCTTTTATCCAGTGAGTCTATGGGTTTGCCTGAAAGGGGATTGTGTAGGAATCTGCCTGATGGGCCAAAGGTAATCATGAATGTGAGTAAGACCCAGAAAGAGTTTGTTGTTGCTCAGACAAGTGTTTCTTTAGAGCAAGCCCTGGGTGAAGTGGGTAAGGGCAGAATTTCTGTGAGGGGTGAACTGTTGCTTAGAAAAGCTTCTGGAGAAAGGAACCCTCAGGGTAGTCTTTTTTTTTTTTTTTTAAATGGAGATATCCCATCTCCTAGAACTGGAAGGGACCTTGAAAGCTCATCAAGTCCAGCCCCCTGCCTTCACTAGCAGGACCAAGTACTGATTTTGCCCCAGATCCCTAAGTGGTCCCCTTAAGGATTGAACTCACAACCCTGGGTTTAGCAGGCCAACACTCAAACCACTGAGCTATCCCTCCCCCCGAAGGGTATGAAAGTGATTTGATCAAGAAAGTTTCAGTCCCTAACAGTCAGAAATTTTCTGTGGTGAATGGATCCACTGACTTTCCTTTTGAAAGAATAACTCGGAGAAGGTCTCAGATGGAGTAAAAGCTGTTAAGGAATTGAGGCAAGGCCTATGACCAAGTGGCTGTGTGGGGCCAACTTGTTGGGAAGACAATGGTGTTGGGACAGGAAGGTCTCCAGGCTGATTCTGTAAGAACAGTCTGTGCGTCAGGGTCGGCAGTTGGTAACACACCTAAGCAGCAAAGGAATTCCTGCGAGCAGGAAGTTTCCATTTTCAACCTTCTAGAAAAAAGGTGTGGGGGGGGAGAACCCCATCCTGCTGGAGGGAAGAGTGAGTGTCCAGCCTTGGAATGGGGAGCAGCTGAGAATCGAAAAGCTAGTGTCTGTGGTAATGCAAATTACCTGGCTGACTAGCAGAAGAAAGACTTGCTAGTAGCCGGTAGCAAGGCGAGCACACCCCATCAGCCAGTGAATTCTGTTAAGCAAGAGAAATCAGGGTTTGATCCTCCAGGACAAGGAGGAAAGAAAGACCTTCATTTTGCAAAGGGAAGCCACAGGTTAACCCTAAAATGCCCAAACCCCGATGGTATTGAGCCAAAGGTGTGGCATGACAAACATGACTGTAAATGGACACTTGCAATGGATTTGTTGTTACTGCTGATGGTAATTTTTGTAACTAACGTGTTGCTTAGGGTTACCATATTTCCACAAACAAAAAAGAGGACACTGGG